AACGAAGGAAAGGCAGCATTAAAAGTAGTAGAAGATGCCATAGCTACCCAGACAGTTCAGAGAATAGACGATCAATCTCCTTGGCAATTCATATCCTCCCCATGGTGTACCTCCCTACGGGATTGTTTGGCAACAAGGTCCTATAGAATGAATTCATCTCTCCTCTCAAAAAAAAGGTGATCACCCCTTAGCTAGTTCCATTGCTCAGCTCCTCACGCAAGGAAGAAAAAGAGCCATTGAATTACTTGGCACAGAGCCTCCGCTCATTATTGTGCCTTACACCAGGCAGCAGCAACAATGGTTATAGCAAAACGAGGAAAGCTGGCAACTGGCATTAATTGGTTTAACGGGACAAATGGATTGTCATTATCCAGCTAATAAATTCCTACAGTTATTCATCCAAAATCCAATTATATTTCCAAAAATTATCCAAACGCAGCTTATTGTGGATGCTGCGCTGGTGTTCACTGACGGCTCTACCACCGGGACTGCTAGTCATGTCGTTAACGGGCGAGGTTGTGTTTGCAGACCTCGCCTAGCTCAGCCCAACCAGGGGAGCGAGGAGCAGTATTCGCAGTATTTAAAGAAGTATCGCAGCCCTTTAATCTGTATACAGATTCAAAATATATTGTTTCCCTAGTGAGAGGTTTAGAAACAGCTACTCTTACGGAAAGTGACCCTTCTACAGTTATTACCAAGTTTTTAAATTTACAACAATTAATTCAACAACGGCGACATCTTTGTTTTATTGGTCATGTTCGAGCACGTTCCAGCCTACCTGGCTGGCCCCTTAGCAGCAGGGAATGTGCAGCGGATGCCTTAACACGAGGGACATATTTTGCTGCCTCTGCAACTGATCAAGCTAAGGCTTCTCATGCTATTCATCATCCAAACTCAGCAGGGTTAAGAAAGCAATTTAACATTACCCGTGAAGCTGCTCGTCGGATAGCTAAAGCCTGCCCCGCATGCCCTGAGCATTTGCCCCCAGTACCTCATACGGTATAAACCCTTGTGGTTGCTCCCAGGAAAATTATGGCAAATGGATGTTACCTATGTCCCTGAATTTGGAAGGCAATCTTATGTGCATGTCACTATTGATACTCAGGATTTTTAGTTGCTACTGCTGGGACAGGAGAAAACGTTACACAAGTCATTGGTCACATACTGACTTGTTGCTGTCCTAGGCATAGCAGCCATAATAAAAACAGACAATGGCCCTGCCTATACCAGTAAAAGTTTTGCATAATTTTGCCAGACATGCAAAAATCTCCCACAACACAGGCATTTTGTACAATCCCCAAGGGCAAGGCATTATCGAACGAGCCAATCAGTCCCTTAAGACTCAAATTAAAAAAGTAAAGAAGGGGGGAGTATGGCCCTCTCACGCCCAATAATATCTTAAACCTAGCTCTCTATACTCAATTTTTAAAATTCGGACGCATCAGGACACTCTGTGACTGAAAGGCATTGGCATTGTCCCTCTGGTAAGTCCGCTGGAAAGATTCCCTAACTAACAAGTGGCAAGGACCAGACCCAGTACTAATCTGGGGGCGAGGTTATGTTTGTGTTTTTCCTAGGAATCAACCAAATTCCCGGTGGGTCCCAGAGCGATTCGTCCGACAGGATGTTACCGGTCAATTTAACGAACAAGATGCGCTGCCCAAGCATTCGTGCCCAGCAACCAGACCCTCGCACTCGACCTCGGGGTTGAGAGGGACACGGGAGGCTGCCATTCCATCCTGAGGCCAGATCAAGAGATTGACGCAGGAAGCAAAGGATCACCTGGTTGCTGGAGGAGGCTCTACTGACCCATCCTCTGTGTTCCTAATGATGCAGGCTCTAACCTCCAACCAGGGGACTTTGTGCTGAACAGACTTATTGGGCTTATGGGCCTGATCCTCCTTTGCTTAGGGCTGTGGAATGGGATGATCCCTCGGTCCCAGTTTTTGTATCAAACACGGAAATTCGAGGCCTCCCATCTGCAGACCATCTCATGCCCCAATGGGTTGGAGGACTAAATTATACAGGAAAATCTCTTTGGCGCCTATGTGTTTTTCTGAAACAGAGACTATGAGTGTGTGCAAGTGGGTAAGGACCATAAGATGACTCATGGATTACTTAACGCTTCTGGAGAAAGTTTTGGAACATTTCAACAGAAGGGATGGAGTATTTACATGACTGGATTTCCCTCCGGGGGAAAGAAGCTTGGAGGAGTAATAATTCCCCCTAACCTTCTCCCTTGTGGAAATGCTACACATGTGTTTAAAACTTATTCAGGATAGAGACAATGCCACTATGGATCAGCTGTACAACACCCCACTGAAGGGACAGGAGAGGTCCTATATGACTGGTCAAGGGCTAATCCCCGGGGTACATTGATTTATCAACTAGTGGAAACTCCAGGGGGTTTTATAGAAGGCATGTTGGTTACACAGCGAGGTCATGTACAAAGAAGTGCATGGAAACTGGTAGCTAGTCCAGACGTAATAAATATCATGCATCCTGGGACTCAGAGTTATACTCTACAGTAGCATGATAAAGCCTACTCCTGTGTTGGGCCTCCTTATGTGTTAATTGTTGGAAAAGTGATTATAACAAAAGATTCAGGAAATTATAATATTCAATGTATTAATTACAATCTTACCAATTGTGTTGCCCACAGTAATTGGGGAAAAGATCTGTTAATTTCGCATCAACCAGCATTTGTCATGATACCTGTAAGAGTGAATGGTCAATGATATGATAATAAGGGACTTGAAGCCTTAAAAGAACTAAATGCATTGCTTGATCGGCAAAAGCGGTTTCTAGGTTTGTTAATTGCTGGTATTGCAGCTCTAGTATCTATTGTGGCTGCCGCAGCAGCAGCAGGAGTAGCTCTGATACAAGAAATTCACACAACTCAATATGTAAATGGCTGAGCAAAAAATGTTTCTGATGCCTTAGGGGCACAGGAGAAGATAAATAAAAAAAACAGAGGATAAACTTAATGCATTGGGAGAAGCAGTGTTGCTAATAGGAGATCAAATTCAGAGCATAAAGGTGCGGATCTCTTTGCAGTGTCACGCTCGATTTCAATGGATTTGTGTAACTCAAAAAATATATAATCAATCAGAATGGGGATGGAATAAAACATGTAATCATTTAGGGATTTGGAGTAAAAATTTTTCAATAGATATAGCAAGATTACATGCGGATATTAATGCTATTAGGATGCACCTCCATTATTAGATACTTCCCCTGCTGAATTAGCTAAAGAATTGTTTGATAAATTTCAAACGCTCATCTCTGGGCATGAATTAACATCATTATTATATTCGGGGGTAATGCTTGCTATCATTGTGGTAATATTCTTATATCTGTTCCCAGTCTGTGTCCAGACAGGAATGCGGAGCATTTCCGAGCTGAAAACAGGAATCCACCGACTGAATTTAAAAAGTAAAGAAGGTGGAGATCTTGGGAGCTGGCTACATGTCTGACAGAGTCCACGGAGCTTGGAAGTCTTGAGTCAAGTGACTCAACCTCCCCCACAATCTCAAGGAATTAGGCTTGCATTGTGTTTGTGCAGCTCAGGGCTAAGTGTGACCCAATGTACCTTGAAATACCCTAGATAACAAACTGGGTGGGCCTGGGTGTTCTTGGGTGCTCCCAGTATACACAAGGCAAACTAATTCTATACAGTATTGTTGTAGCCCTGGGCATTATAGCAAGAAGATCCTATTTTCTTATATCATTAAACTTTTGCTGTAAGGTATAAAAGGCATGTAATAAAGCATATCGAGGCTGATCCTGCTGAGGACAGTCCTCCTGATCTCACATCCGTGTCTTCATCTTCATTCCCACTGCTCGAACTCAGGGACTCTGCTCTCCAGGCTGGTTCCTGGCAAGGTGGCATCTGAGATTCCACATTTCTTGCAAGTTCCCAGATAAGACATGCTGATCTGGAGACCGTACTTTGAATAACAAAGCATTTGGATTTTAAAATGTCAGGAAACTGTTCAAGATTTGGAAATTGGTAAAAGATTACCGTGTATCTGGTGGAGTGCTAGTCTAGGACCAACCGGTGCTGTAGAGGTGTTCACATTGGCTTGTCTTTTATTCAGCTCTGTAAGACTAGAGGTGAAATATGTATAGTAATGGGATGAATTTCCTTTAATAGAGGTACAATTGATTTCAGCCCTGTAGAAAAAGGTGGCTCCCAAAGATTACTTTTACTTGTCCGGTAGGATATCAACCCCTGTGCAGAATTAGCAAATTCATTTCAGTATTCCTGATTGCCCACATCTACGTGTTCTTCAAAATCTCTTTTAAACAGGCTTTATCTTTTTGAAAATTATGCGTTAACATCACTGGCCCTTTGCGATTCATTCATTGTTTCATTGATTTATTCATAGCATATTTTATTTACTTGCCGGAGTGGGGAAGGTTGCAGGGCAGGAAACAAACTCCTCTGAGAACGTGGCTGGTCAGGTATCATGCTTTTCCGACTCCCAGCCCATGCATCAGGTGAGGAAGTACACTTTACCTCCAATGTAGGCCAGGTAGTTCCCCCTCTCCGGGCTAGACTACCACGGAATATAGTGGAAGAAGATGCTTTAACCATCCTGTCGCCCAGTAAGTATCAAGAGGTTGAGAGACCTGACTAAGCCCTGTAGCTGAGATTTGACCCTGACCTCAGGACTCCTCCAGCGCTCCTTAAACCACCTACGCTTAGTTTATTCTAGGGCCACTACACTGCTGGCTGTCCCACGTCTGCTGTGAGCGTTAAGAATTTGAACCCTCAGGTGTTCAGAGTTTTGTGTAAAGGACTGGGCCAAAGGGAGGGGTTTGGAGCGGGGGCGGAGGGGGCGGTCCCTGGGACTGAGGGGCGGAGCCTGGGGCGGCCGCGCAGCCAACCCCGCCCCACCGGCTGCTGGGAGTCGGAGCCGAGGCCACGCTGCACTTCCCCGGGCTCCGCCCCGCCTGTCTGTGTCAGTGGCGGCCACTATCGATAAAGTTGTTGTTCTGCCAAAATGGCGGCGCCCATGGAGACAGGCCGGGTAGTGTTCGCCTGAGGTGGAAACCGAGGCGTAAGGAGCCGTAGGCCCAGAGCCTGTGAGCAGGTAAACCCTGACCGGGGCTCAGCGGGACGAGAGACGAGGCCCGATTTCCTTTCCGCCGGATCGGGAGGTTTCATCTTGCTGGGAGCGGGAAGGAACGGTGCCGACTAGGTTAGGTGGTCTCGGATCCGCGCAGGTTCCGACCTCGAAAAGTCTCCGGGATCCGAGTCTTCAGGTTTTTCGAGACCCTGTTTATACTCTGGACTCTTTCCCCGAAAAACGCACGTGTGCACATACACAGATTTGTACTTAAGTTCCTCTCCCACGGCTCCCCTACCGCAGCTGGCCCCTGGATCTTTGCTCCCTGGCCTGGGGGTTTGGACTCAGTTAAAAGCCTTCCAGTGCATCTCTGCCCACAGGTCATTCCCACACGTGTTAGGGCTGAAGATCCTCAGAGATCATTTGGGTGTACCCCTCATCTTAAGGAGAAGCTTAGGTTCCAAACAAGAAATAAATTGCCTGAGGTCGTACAGGGAGTTAGTAGTTGCAAAAGCCTAGATCTGTATTATTATTATTAGTAATATTTTAGTTTGGTCTCCAAACTTGGTCCTTTAAGATTCATTCATTTCCCCAGGTACATTCTCACACACCTTTTGGGTGCACCCACATGCCTTCACGTGCTTCTACGTGTTCTGTTGCTTTGCCTGTCTTCTCTTCTGCTAGGTTTCTCTGTCCATAAATAATGGTCAATTTGGGTCCAGTTCCCAGCCCTACCCCCACCCCTCCATCGTAACACGCCACTACCCCCACCATTCTAATAAAACTTAGCCTTAAGCCCCCAAGTGAGGTTGAGGTCAGGGCTGACTATAAAAGAGAACGAGTACTGAGGATTGATGCTTTGCAAGGATCACAGAATACAGTGAAAGAAGAGACAAGATTCCAAACATCAAGGCAAAGAACTGGATAAGACAGGAGGAAGAAAGGTGCCAAGTTAATCATAAATACAGCACACAGGCCACACCTTTCACACTTGTGCTATGGTCATAGTCCTCTAATAAAACGGCTGTTCGTGGTCTGGAAAAGCAGTGCCCATCAGGGCTTTGGTGGTGGAGTGGCAGAGAGGGCCTGGGACGTAAAGGAAGGAAACTCCGTTGAGCTCCAGGAAGTTCTGTAATAAATCATAGTCCTGAGTACACTATATGCTGATTCTTGGGGACCTTCTAACACAAAGGGTGTGAACTTTTCTTAAAGAGTCTTGACACATTTCTCCAGATCGCTCCCCAGAAAGGTAGAATCAATGTACAGTCCCACCAGCACTATATAAAAACGCACATTTCTTTTGATTTAACAGGTTTTTGCCAGTCTGATAAGCAAAATATTTCATTGTTTTAATTTGCATTTCTGATTAGTTGTAAAGTTGATCCTTTTCATATATTTATTAGCCATTTGCATTTTCTCTTTCTTTTTTTCCTTTGCTCATTTTTAAAATTAGGGCTTTAATGTTTCTCTTCTCATATGTGAACTCTACAGATTAGGGTGTTTTTCGTTGCAGTTTTTGCGTTTTTTTCTCAGCTTCTTTATTTTGTTCATGGTGTTTTTTATATACAGATATCTTAGGTTTTAAGAGAGATTATTAATATTTTCCCTTCTGAATTCTTCTATTGCTTCCATTCTCAGGACAGAACATACTGCACCTTGTAAGGAATTATTAAGTACTCACCACAGGGTGGGACAAAGGTCGGTTTACAGTTGTGAGTATATGAAACAGTGTATTCTTGTTTATATATATTAATTATTGTATTAATTTCCATACGAACAACTGTAAACCGACTTTGTCCCACCCCGTATATTTTTATCTTGTTTTATGGTATTTAAAAAAATTCTTTAATCTGCATAGGACTTACTATGGTTTATGGTTTGAGGTGAGGGGTTTGAATTCTCCCACCATCTGTCACTTTGTAATCTGCTTGTTCTTTTTTCTTTATTAACTTTAAGTGCTTTTAAATACCTAGATATGTTTCAGGATTCTCTACTCTATGGGTTTGTGTAAAGGAAAGGTTATTAGAGATTGTTAGTGAGCCAGATACTAGGTAAACATTTTTAGAAAGCTTGTTCATGTTGTATAGACAGAGAATATTGTTACGCGTTGTTTGTAATTTGGCTTATAGTATAAGTAAGTTGTAGAGACGGGATCAGAATCTTCTTTTTTTTTTTTTTATCCTCACCCGAGGACATTTTTCCATTTTTTGTTCAGGTATAGTGGGAGGGAGAGAGAGGAACAGAGAGAGAGAGAGAAACATCGATGTGAAAGGAACACATCAAGTGGCTGCCACCCGCACAACCGACCAGGGCCAGGGCCAAACTGCAACCGAGGTACGCACCCTTAGCGGGAACTGAACCCGGGTCTCTCAGGACCGCAGGCCGATGCTCTAACCGCTGAACCAAACCGGCCAGGGCAGGATCAGAATCTTAAGTGAAAGAATGACCTTCATATTGCTCATATTGGTGATCTTTCTGCACTCTTTGACATTACATTTGTCACAATGGCTAACTAGCATTAAAACCAAAGTTTGTGAGACTACAGTCAAGGTCGGTTTGTATTTTTATAATTTGTTACTTCCCCTTGTTTCTATTTTATAGGCTAGTCCTTTGTTGTATTCTTAGGGAATGCAGTCTAGGAGAGAAATGGCAGGCATCTCTCTGTGTGCCGCCTGCTAAACTGGCATTCTTTGGTTTGCAACGATATGAAAATGCTGACTTAGCAAGAGAACCATAAAATCCATGAATCCTATAGCTAGTTCTAATTATATAGAAACCCAACTCCTAAAAATAAATGCAATTGCCTTATTGTATACAGCATCTATATATTAGGTTGGTCAGATGGAATTGCTGATGTTCAACTGATTTCATATAGTTACCATTATATCTGTAGCCACAACCTTTCACTTTAAAATAGCCAAGCCCAATGGATAGGGAGGTTTTTTTTTTGGTCTGTTTCTGATTTCACCCCCAAAGAAGCAAGAAGTGTTGAATACAGTGAGAAGTGGTATGTCAAGAACCTTGGCAGACCAACTTGTAAAATGCCAACACTATGATGTCATTTTATGTGAGTGCGAAATTCACTTGAATAAGCCTGTCAAATGAACCCTGTTGTCAACATCTATGATCCAGTATGGTTGTGAAATGGGGCAAATCCTAGTAGATATGGAAAATATTTTGAGAGAATCAAAGAACATCAGCTTAGAGCGTCAGGTTCTTCCTTTCTGTCTTTCTTGGTTTTGAAAGCTCTGTTATGAAAACACTGTAGCACTTCTCAGATGCTGTTATGCAAGAAGGCAGAAAGTTTAGGCTATTTATTCATAGATCTTAAATATCTGATGAACTATCACCTTAACCTTTTGAGTCATGATAAAACATGAAGCATCTTCCATGAGTTCGTTTCTGGAATTCAACTTTGGAGCAAACCAATGAAACATTTAAGTTGAATTTTGAATTGCAGCTAGATGTCCTGATGGGCCCCAACCTATGGGTTAGATTCCAAAAAAACCATATCACTCACTGCTGGTACACATATTGTATATTTATTTGTTGGTTTCTCACTTCTTTTCTCTACCAGTGTGTAAGTGCTATGACAGAAGGGACTTGGTTTTTGTTCACTGCTGTCTCCCCAGTGCCTGGAACTGTGTGCCCCTCGTGGCACTCAATATATCTTTGGTAAATGAATGAAGAACCAAGTGAATAAGCAGTCTTCTAAATAATGATTGCTTCCTGGCTTAGCCTACTGAGTGTATTTAACTAATAATATATTTGAAAAATGCTGATAATCACTCAGAGTCTCTGGTTCTCCTGGGATCCCTTCTGATGTTTGAGCCTAAGGCCAAGCTAAGATGCTTGGAACTCTTCTGAATTCTGCACGACAGGAAGTGCAGCCTGCTGGACAGACCCTGGGCTGCCTGCGGAGAAGAGGAGGAGGGGCCCTGCTGGCTCCCACGCAGCTGCAGCCGGAGAGGCCGTGGTAGGAGCTGGCCCAGGCAGGGGTCTCCATTTGTTCCTCTGGGGGTTTTGTCTCTGGTGTTTGGAAGCACCAACTACCTTTATATTTTCCATTAAAAAGTTTGTGGTTAGCTCAGGTAAACTTCTAGAGCATTCTTTTCAGGGAGAGAAACCACCAGAAGAATACGAGGAAAGCGTGTGAGCGGGCAGGGAACACGGCTTTGCTGAGTGGAAGGACAGGCCCAGGAGGGCTTCTGGGCGGCTCCCAGTGTGCTCTCTGCGCTCTTTCAGGCCTCCCACCTTCTGAAGAATGGCTCCTGCTGGGCAGAGACTGGGTTTCTATGTCTCCCTTCTGAAGAGGCAGCTAAATGGTGGGCCCGACGTCATCAGTTGCGGAAGGAGAGTGATTCCAAGATGTACCAGGGGAATTTACAGTGCCACCGGACAGTGGACGCAAGAGTATACGCTGCAGACAAGAAAGGATGTCGAGAAATGGTGGCATCCACGAATAAAAGAACAAGCCTCCAAGATTTCTGAAGCCGATGTGAGTATTCTGAGAGACTCTGAGAGGGTGGAGAAGAGGGGTTAAGGGTTTGGACCCTGGGGTCAGACTTCCCAGTTCAAATAAGTTATTAAGTGTGTGACCTTGAACCAAATGATTAAATCTCTGTGCTTCAGTTTTCTTTTCTAAAGTGGACAATGATAACAATAATGCCCACTGCTCCCGAGGGCGCTTGTGAGGGGAACATGTAGTGAGACAAGGCTAGTGCTCAGAAGAGTTTCAGTGTGGTGCGTGTGCACACAGGTGCATGTGAACACAGGTGCACGCAGACAACGCCACACCCGGTGTTCTGGAGCAGCATTTACAGGAAACACATCAAGACATGAGCCATAGCGGATGTCAGGTTCTTCCTGGTCCATCACATAGTGGGGCAGCACGCAGGGAGCTGGTAGGGTCAGATATGGGACTCCAGAGGCGACACCTGTGCCCCTCTGCCAAGGAGCTTTCAAGCTACATATTCTGAGAAGTACCTGCCCCTCCCCTGGCATGGCCTTGGCCTCCAACCCTGTTCTGTCACTTCAGCAGCATGGTTTGGGAGGTACCAGCCTTCCCTGGTATGATCTGGAGCTGGGGTCCAACCTGGCCCTAACAGCTGTATGAGTTAGTGGACCCTTGGCTTTGGGTCCTGGTGCACCAGCTCAGCGCTCTCCGTGAGTTAATTGTTTTAAGTATTTGGCTGTAGCCCGTTTCCATGGAGTGCTCTGCTGGAGGCTGGTTCCTTCTCTGGGGGGCCAGCCTGCTGGGGATCAGGCTTGGATGTGCTAGCCATTACTTCTGGTGAGAAAATCTGGTATGGAGAAAGACATAGTGTAGAATCGATGAAAAGGAAGATTTGAATGAAAATTTAACTTTTACTCATTAGGAAGTGAAAAAGCCTTCGGGAAACATGAGCAAACTAATCTAACAGTGTATTTTGGAAACAAATGTTAGGGAGCAGTTTAATTCTGAATAAGGAGCTTAAAATTCGCTTTATTCTTTTCTTTGTTTCTTTTGGTTTAGATTATAATTTAGTGACTTTCAAACATTTTTAAGTTGTAGCTGACTGATTTAGTGACATCTCATTCTTCTTAAGCATGTGGTTTTAAAAAAACTAAATGGATCAAAATAAATAATTGATCAGAATTAGTAACTGGGTAAATAGCTTTAGGGATGTTGTGAATGATCCCTGCTGGCCCTCGGTCTGGGTTGGAATCAGGGACTGGCCCAGGGGAGAGAGCACCTGAGGAGGGTCTGGAGCCTGGGCAGTAAAACACTGGTGCTGCCCTCAGCATTAGCATGAACTTGGCAACATCATTAACCTCTTGATCCTCACATTATTTATCTCACAGAATTGTTTTGAAAATCAAATGAGAAAATGTGACTGAACACGTTTTACAAACTGAGAGTGTTATGTAAATGAAAGTTACAAGAGGAGAAAAAAGTGTGGTGTGTCTTTGTCAGGGACACAATTCTGCTGGATGCTCATGGATTTTGAATCATTTGTAATTGACCTCACTCTAGTATCAGATACATTTGAAACCCACCCAGATGATTTTCTAGAAGTTGAATATTTTGCTATCATCCTCCTAATTATCATCATCATCATAAGAATTTCCATGTAATGAGCATATTCCTATGTGTCAGGCACCATCTGTCCATTTATTTTCTCGTTTAATCCTGAAATAACCCCGAGGGAAAGTATCATCATCCTCATGCTGGAGGTAGGAAAACAGGCTCAGAGAGAGTGTTGGCAGTTTGTCGAGATGCACAGCTCACCTGTGGCAGAGCCAGGGTTCAGCCCCGTCACCTCCGATCGCGTGTTTGATTCCTGAGCTCATGGTTTCACCCGGAACCTTCTTTCACCTCACCTTTGATTCACAGATTGTATCCAGCCCAGAAAGGCAGAAGAATTAGCCTAAGGTCTGCCTACCCAGCCAGCGGCAAAGCTGGGACCAGAACCAGGACTCCCAGCTCCTGTCGAGGGCTCCTTCGCTCTGCCCTCCTCCCATCCGCCCAGCTCCCCGCAGCTCAGAGCCAGATCCATAAAGACGCAGAAGTTATCTTTCTCCTGGCGTCAGAAGCTGGCAGAAAGAATAGGACTTATTTATAAAGACCACCCATTTCCCATCGCTTACCATCTTAATGTCTTTTACAGGTTTAAATTTCTACACTTTTATATAATTATGAAAATTTCCCTTTCAATCAGATTCCTGCTTGGTTTTAACATAAATTCCCATAATTCCTTCTCTTCTTTCCACCCACAGAGGATAGAACGCATTTCATTGTCACAGAGGAAAATGACTTAATTCACACAGAAAGCAAAAGGCAGGGCCAGGCAGTAAGCTGAATACCTTTTCTGCAATGAAAATATTCATGAATATTAAAGGCTTTTGCTAGCATTACTTTTGTATATATCTTCCCTAAACTCAGTTTTGGTGTTTGGCTTAGCTACTGTATAATGAATCACTCGATTTTACATACATTTAAGCTTTGTTGGAAAGACATACAAAAAGGAGATGCTAATGAAGAAGTTATATGTGGGAAATGTTTGGGGCAAGATTGATTGTTAAATAAACATAACATAAAACATATATATATATTACTCTAATAAAAACACGGTGATTATGCCCTGGCCAGTTTGGCTCAGCGGTTGCAGCATTGGCCTGCTGTCCGGAGAGACCCGGGTTCGGTTCCCGCTAAGGGCACGTACCTTGGTTGCAGTTTGTCCCTGGCCCTGGTTGGGTTGTGCGGGTGGCAGCCACTCGATGTGTCCCTTTCACGTCGATGTTTCTCTCTCTCTCTCTTCCTCTCTCTCCCTCCCACTCAATCTGAACAAAAAATGGAAAAGTGTCCTTGGGTGAGGATTAAAAAAAAAAACCCAAGGTGATTATAATAAAAGGAAAACAGGTTTAATGTTAAAACTTTACAATGAAAACTTTACTTTATATCAAGGATTTTCTTGTGTTTTTCCGGGTCCCAAAGAACTGTAACAGCTCTTTTCCCCGGCCCCTAAAAACGAGGAGGGTGGATAGTTTGCTTATTTCCATTCTGCACCAATTAAAGGAATGAAGTCTTGCACCTCCTTTGAGAGACTTGTTTACAAGCGGAGAGAAGTATCTGTCACTTGTCTTCCTAAAGACGGTAATTCCTGTGTCCCCACTGACTCCTGAATCTCAGGTCCTCTCCCACACTCCTGAGGCTCACCTCCGAGCCATGGATCCGCACTTTCCAATTAAAGAGCGCGATCGATGTGCTGCTCTCTGTCTGTTTACATAAATCAGCAGCATTTCCAGGTGATTTTCTAGCCTCTGTGGACTAGTTCTGGATTCCTATGTTCCTTTTCTTCCTCGGGCAGCTTGACGTGGCTGCTCGGTCATTTCTGGAGGGTGGCGGGGCAGGACAGTTCCTCTCTAGTCTATTTTGCCACGTGGTAGCGGCTCTGTTAGAAGTTTGTTTGGCTTCTTTGCTGAAGACGTTGAAAGCAAGGGGTCAGATGAGATTGGAAAGAATCTGTTTTCTGGTTTCTTCTGCTTCCTCGGTTACAGTCGGCTGTGTCAGTGATCGGTCGTGCACATATTAGCAAAAAGCACAACCTCTCCCCAACATGTACACAAAAGAATGGTTATGAATATTCTGTTTTGCATTTCTTTTCATTAGTTTGGGGTGCAAAACCTTAGAGAACTGCAGTAGAGCTCTAGGAAGGGAGGAAGGACAGAAAGGGAAAAACAGAAGGCAGAAAGAAATGAAATAGTAATAATATCAGAGGGTCCCGACTCTTAGTGACTGAACAGAAGCAGTTGCCTTCCTTCCTTCAGAGGAGCCCCTGCTCCCCCCGGGGGGGTTTCCGCGGGGCAGGGGACCGTTCTTACCGCCTGGGCAGGATTTGCGGGATTTGCTGGGAGAATGCCCTTCACTGATGCCCAGCTCGCTTTATGGGAACCATGTTTTAAGAGCTCCACAGAGTCCGTCAGCTGGCCTTCGGGGCACCAAGGCCAACACGCATTTATCCAGCAGGGGCGAGGGCAGGAGGTGACTAAACACAGTCCTTGCCTTTGAACAACTGGTCTCCAATAGGAGTTAGTTAAATGACCACCTTTCCTTTGGAGCCTTATCCCCTTGTGTGCACGAACGTGTGAGAACACTCACCGTTTTACCGATGGAAGAACAAGGTGCCCAAGTCAGCATTCCGCTGGGGACTTTCTGCCCCGTGTCCATTCGGTTGGGATGCATGTTCCGTTTTCTGTGTCTCTCATGATGAAGCTGCATCTTTGGAAGCTGCAGAGTTATCCAACCCTGGCCTGGGGCTGCCTACAGATCACCCCTGGGAAACCACAGCCTTCTCCCTTCACTGGCTAAGATTTTCTCATTACCCTCCCATCTCAGTTTTTCTGTTAAAAGATAAGCTCAGAACACAGTGGAGAAAGCCAGGACCCAAACTGTTGTCTTGGGATACAGGTCTTACTGCCAAACCCAATCTGCGCGCAGCTCGGGGGGGATTTCGGAAGGACTCCGTTTTTAGAGATGTCACGCCTGTGATTCAATATTGCTTCCTGGAATTACATGGATTTGGAAAGACATACAGTTCTTTGAGACCTAGATAGAAGCTGTCTTAAAGAGAGAGGAAAAAAAGATTATAAATGTAGATGAGTAATTAGCACCTTGAGGGTTTTCAGCCTCATTTTGGATAATCAGGGCTTTGAATTTGGGTTTTTGACATTTTTGTCAACTTCTATTATGGGAACCGTGTTTTCAAAAGGAAACTTTTTTCAATATTAAGTGAGCACCGTGAGGAAAGTGCCCCCTGTGATGTGCAGGCAGGTCCCCAGCAAATGCTTCATAAATATTCATCGTCACTTTTTCCTCACTCTTTCCTAGAAATCCAAGCCCAAGTTTTATGTGCTCTCCATGTTCCCTTATCCTTCCGGCAAGCTGCACATGGGCCACGTGCGTGTGTACACCATCAGCGACACCATCGCACGGTTCCAGAAGATGAGAGGGATGCAGGTAAGAGCAGGTGTCGGCCTCACTTAGGGCAAGGATGCTGTAATGTGTTCAAGGCAAGTGGAGAGAGCCACTTCGGTTAAGATGAGATTAGCTTTGAAGATAAACATGAAAAGCTCAGTGCTTCCTTTCATGAATTTGAAGACATCATAAAGCATCTAGATTTGTTGGGGGGTAGCCATGTTTTGGGTGTTGTGCTAGGGATGGAGATGGGGTGGGGATTGGGGTAGCCAGAAATGTGGGTAACACGTGATATTTCCCCAGGAGGAGTTCACAGTCTGGTGAGGGTAGAACATGGATCGTCATTGTTTAGGGGGATGAATCCCATACAAATAAGGATTGAAGGCCAAGTAGGAGGTGGGGCCACAGAGATTTTTCTCTTTGTATTTGATATTTTCTGTATTCTCTAATGAGCGTGTATTTGTTTCATAATGGAATAAATAAACTTTTTGTAAGGAAAACATTTGGGGAGTAAGAACTCTGGGGAAGTTGGGAGAGGCTCCACTGAAGAGGGGCCATCTGATCTGGGGGATGAGGTGAAATTTACCAGGAGAGAGGAGGAGAAAGACCCTTGTTGGCTGGTGTGGGTCAGTCCCCTCCCCGCCACTGCCAATTACCCCAGAGCCTGCTCTTTACTCTTTAGTGACATGTGGTGGGAATAACCACAGCACCTTCCATAACTGCTCACAGAGGCAGGATGGGAGGGGGGCTCAGAGCATGGACCACTGAACAGGTGGCCAGGGTTACAGAGCCAGCTCCTAACACTTCCTAGCTATGTGACCTTTGACTGGCTGCTTAATTAACTTCTCTAAGACCTGGTTCTCTCATCTGCAAAGTGGAGATCAAACAGCACCTGCCCGTTGGCCTGTTACAAGGATTCAGAGAGGATGGCTGTGAAGTACTTAGCACATACCTGGCCCATGGTAGTAACAATACATATTAGTAAATATTAGCACTGCCGGTGGAGGGCTGGAGTCTGCTCACACCAGCTCCCGGGAACGCGCTGTGCATCTCTGCCCAATCTTGTGTTTATTAGTCACCTTAGTAGCCTGAAATCCAGCATGTTGGGAGTCTTTACACAATGGAAATCAGCAAACACTACAGATCGGAGCTTTTTCCTCCAGAGAGCCCATTGGACATTAATGGGCACCCCCCACTGGCTATGATTAATTGGTCGGGGCCTGTACAAACCATATCTGCCACCTCCCAGTCCTTTGTAAAGATTTTCTTTTAGAAAGATGAGTGCATCCTTGTCACAGTTGGTTTGAAAATTTATGCCGAATGACATTGGCAGCAAGAAGTATTCCTAAAAAGGAAGTCAACTGATAATGCCTCTCTATCACTTGAAGAGTTAATGACTGTCTCCTGTCAGACTCTGGGATTTGTGTTCTACCTGAAGCCGCCACAGGTGTTTGTCTCCCTGGTTTATGCCAGATGCCACTTCCCCCAGACCCTGCTTTCCATCTCTCCTGCTGTGTTTATTAGAAAGAAGTGGTGTGGAGCGAATTGGCTCTTTGCCCGAAGTATAATTCTTTATCTAACTGTGATTCCTCAACTAGATTTTTCTTATTTTTTCACTTATCTTACTTATTTTAGACAGTTAGCACATGCAGGCAAATCACTGCAGATTAAGCTTCTACAGCAAAACGACATTTCTGGTGAGGAAAGGGAAACCCGTTAGCAGATAGCAGGGTGGAGGATGAAACATCACAGAGAAAGTTCCAGGCAGAGCCCCAGGCCCGGAGGCACCAGATCCCTTGCAGGCAGCTCAGGCCCAAAGACAAAATGGAGTCGCCTGCAGTGACGGAGGCCCCAGGTCAGGCTGGCTCCAGGAGCTGGACAACCGAGGTTTGAACACTTCCACCTCTTCCAGCTGAGTGACCCTGCACAAGTCATTCAGTGTCTCTGAATCCCTCCTTCCTGCTCTTTGCAGTAGGGATGGCAGTACTTCCTCCCTCCGGGGGTTGTGCGGGTGGAACGAGGTAATACACGTATACGTATGTCTAGCTCATAATCCCTTGGTAAGTGGTAGCTGTGATTATTGTTTATACGGAACTGGTTTACTCTGGGAAGTCATTCATGTCCACGGAGTAGGAGATCCCCGTTCTCTTCTGTCTGAGCACGCTGCGTGGAGTTGCCTTCTGAGCAGCATCCCCGCTGCACAGCTCGCCTGCAGTCCGTGTTATCCGGCCCGCGGCTGGGTCGGTGCCGAAACCACCGGCACAGGGTTTATGGGGCCTTGGTCTGCGGTCAGCAGGCGCTCAGGGTTCTCTTTGCTCCTCGGTTTCGGTTGCTCTGTTTCAGATGAGAAGCTTGCATTTGGGGGTATCTTCCAGGTTTCCCTGCAGTTCATTTCTTGTTCATTTTTGTAGCTCATATTTAAGTCAGAGCATCTGAAACCTAACTATCAAATTTAGTGAAAATTTGCCCTGCCATTTTTAAGTGATATGGCAAAAGAGAAACAGAAATTTTAGTGTAAAAAAATTGTCAGTATTGTGAAAGCCCGTTGAGCTTCCTGTTGTTTTAAAATCCTTCCCTGCCCTGGCCTGTTTGGCTCAGCGGTCAGAATGTCAGCCCTCGGACCAAAGAGTTGTAGAGCAAGTACGCATTCTGGTCAAGAGCAAGTACCTCGGTTGCGGTTCATCCCGGGCCCTGGTTGGGGTTGTGCGGGAGGCAACCAGTCTATGTGTCCCTCTCACGCTGTTGTTTCTCTGTCTCTCCCTCCCCCCCACTTTATCAGAAGATAAATAGAGAAATATCCTTGGTTGAAGATTAAAAAAACAAAAAGTAAAATCCTTTCCCAGTGTCAGGACTAGTCCCAGAGAGAGCAGGATTGATTCAGGTCAAGTTCAATAATCCTCATGCCACAGAGGGAAGGAATATCTTACCTGGAATAACAGGGGCTGACACGTGTATCGATTAATTTATTCAATAGTCATTGAGTACCAGCTTTATTCTAAACACTGGACTTTCTGCTGTATTAAATAGAAAGACAGTTGACCCTTGAACAACACAGGAGTTAGGGGTGCCAGCACTGCCCCCTCCCTGCTCAGTGCAGGTGAAGATCCTCGTATAGCTGTTAAGTCCCCCAAAACTTAACTACAGATTGGTTCCAGAATACCTCACAGATACTAAAATCCACGGATGTTCAAGTCCCTTATATAAAATGCTGTGGAACGATGCATGGTCAGCCCTCCACGTTGCAGTTGGCTGGATCCACAGATGCGAAACCCAGGAATATGGGGGCTAACCGTGTATTTATTGAAAAAAAGTCCGCATATAAGTGGACCTGTGCAGTTCAAATCCGGGTTGCCCAGTGGTCCACTGTGTTGGAGTCTCTGGTTCAAATCAGTCAGCAGGCCTAAGAAAAAGTCAGTAAGCTTTGCCTGTCACTGCAACTTGTTAATTTGTTGGTTGGTTTGCTTTGTTCTCGAATAGATTGATGAAGTAATTCTAAGGTACACCAAGAACGGCGTTATGGGAAGTAAAAAGCATGGGAGTGACCCCTGCATCAAGCCTGCTCTCTTCAGGGTCACCATGACCTCCACGGCCGTGTCTCAGCGACACATAGTACTGCAGACCGTCTCCCCCAAACCCTCTGCCCTCGTGGCAGGAGGCTCCACTCCCCAGGGTTTTCTCCAGCAGCTCGGCTTCCTCCTCCGGTGTACTCCCAGGTCTTGTTCTGCCCCACTTTGTCCACATCCTCTCTCCGTGAGCAGGCTCCTCCTTCCTAGTTTGCTGAGTTTTTGTCACAAATGGGTGTTGATTGTTGTGAAATGCCTCTGTTGAGATGACATATGGTTTTTCTTCTTGCATCTGTTAATTTGAGGTATTATGTTGATTGATTTTTAGAAATACTAATCCAACTTTGCGTCTTTGGGACAAATTTAATTTAGCCGTGATGTATTCTTTAATGCATAGATTGCTGTATTCAATTTGTTAATATCCCTGTGTGCATGAGAGATACTGATCTGTAATTTTCTTTTCTTGTAATGTCTTTGTCTGATAGCAGAGTTATGCTGGCCACCTAGAACAGGCGAGGAAGTGTTCCCTTCCTATATTCTGAAAGCAGTGTGTGTTATTGGCATTATTTCTTCCTTTATTGTTTCATAGCCTTCACCAGTCTTGGTATCTGGGCCTAGAGTTTTCTTTGTGGAAAGTTATAAAATGACAAGTTCTATTTCTTTAAGGTATATAGCACTATTTCGATCTTCTGTTTCTTTCTTTCTTTTTTTTTTTTATCTTCACCCGAGGACATTTTTGCATTTATCTTCAGATAGAGTGGGAGGGAGAGGGGGAGGAAGAGAGAGAAACATCGACGTGAGAGAGACGCATCGAGTGGCTGCCACCCACACAACCCCAAGCGGTGTTGGGGACAAACTGCAACTAAGGTACATGCCCTTAGTGGGAACTGAACCTGGGACTCTCTGGTACGCAGGCTGACGCTCTAACCGCTGAGCCAAACCGGCCAGGGCGTCTTCTGTTTCTTCCTGTGTCAGCTTTTAGTTTTTTTCAATGAATTGTCCACCCTACTTCAGATTCTGTTCTAGACTGACTTCTTTTCCTCTCTCTCTCCACTTTCACCAGGTAGTCTCATCTTTCCCCTTTAGTTTAAATATCGTATTCGTAAAAATTATAAACGTTTACAACACAGAAGTACAGAGAACTTTATCACAAATACCCAGACTGGCCATCCTGGTGGAAAATATACCATTTAATCATATTAGCCTCAGCTCTTTTTTTTTTAGTGTTACAGGTGCATTTATGCCTTGCCACAATTGGATTCTAGTCCTTCAATTCAAAGTAGCTACTATCCCAAGTTAGTGTGTATCCTGGCCTTCATGTTTTCATGCTTTTACTCTATGTACTGTTTAAGGATACACACACACACACACTTATATGTAGTATTGTGTTTTTAATTTTATATAAAAGATACCTTCTTTAATATTCTGCACATTTTTTCACTTATTGTTTTGTTTCCTATGTCTCTAAAGCTAGTTCAT